AGTTCAACCGTGTGGGTGAATCCATCTTCCTTGCCTCGATAAATCCAGCGAAGATGGATAAATATCCTAGCATAAGCTTCTCATCCCTTGTCCACTCCCCAACACGCTTACATGCTTCAGTAAGTTCATCAACGGTGGGGCCAACATCTATACTAACGCCAAGCTTCTCCCAGAAATATTTCATCTCAAGAGTAACTTCTGCTTCCTCCAGTTCCTGAACATCCTCGCAGTTGAGACCGGTGAGTTGTTCAAACTCATTGAGTGAAAACCGAAGTGGGGTTGCATTTATGAGACTCCATATCTCATACTTCTTCTTGCAGTCCAGCTGAAAACCGAGTATAAACTGCACCACCCTCGACGCCCAGCCCAAAATTCAGTTTGTAAAACTTTAGAAAAACACCAAGCCTTGATTCCAAAAGCTCTTCCCATATATCTGCTTCCAGTACTGCTTCCAATGCAGGAAACAACTTCCTACTGTTGCTGTAGTAGGCTATACTTTTCCCAGGTTGGGGCTCCTCGTCCTTCGTGAATAATCTCCTTGGAAACTTGGGCTGCTTCTCCATCCTGCAAAACCAAAGATGACATAAATATGTAAGAAATATATAATTATTAGCAAATGGCAGAAGTCTAGTTCAGAAAGAAGTCTACTTTACTCCGAGAAGTCTACTCACGAAAAAGTCTACTCGAGAAGAAGTCTACTTAGAGAAGTCTACTCGAAAGAGAAGTCTACTCGAGAAGAAGTCTACTTAGAGAAGTCTACTCGAAAGAGAAGTCTACTCGAGAAGAAGTCTACTCGAAAGCGAAGCCTACTCTAGAGAAGTCTACTTATACGAATTCTAAAATAAATCACTAGTTACAAAAATTACCTTTGCGAACACTGAAATCCGGCGGAGACAACCAACAGCGTCGTCGACATCTGTAAATCCAAACAAAAAATTTCCAAATTAGCGGTGGCGATGATATCTAGGGCAAAAATGGAATCTAACAGATGCCGGACAAAGAGAAATGAGGACAGAATTACCAGCAGTAACAAGGCGACGAGGCGACAAGGCAACAGAGGCGGCGATGAAAAGAGATGAACGAAATCAATTAAGGTCTATATACAGATAAAGAGATATACAGAAGTGAGAGATCTGAGAAAGGAGAACAGAGATTACCTCCGTTGACAATTTACAAACGGTGGTGATGAGTTGAAGCAGCGACGGCGACGATGGTATGAACGGCGACAGAAATGGCGAAAGAAATCGCCCAAACGCTGGTTACGAGTCGAGAGAAACTAGGGTTTGTGGAATGGGTTACTTTCTGGTAAAAATGAAATATATAGGCTGGTTAAAAATGGGTTAGTAATATTATTCGGTTCAGTGATTATTTTTATTTTACTCGGACATAACCGGTCAAAGAAGTCTACTTTTGATTCTAATTCGGTAAGAGAAGTCTACTAGATAGAAGTCTACTTTGGTCCGAGACGTCTACTCGAGAGAAGTCTACTTCGGTCCGAGAAGTCTACTTAACCCTAAACCCTAAATCAATTTTTTTTAATTAAAACTTATATGAAAACATTAATTACTTACCATATTGACAAGTCATAGTTAAAATAACAAATATATGAACCATGATTCATTAACTGAACCATAAACTATGATTCATATAAAATTTGTGCAAACGCTAAGAATTACACTCTTATACCCTAAACCCTAAATATCAACCCTAACCCTTTAATTTGTATACTTATAAAACTTATAAATTGATTCATTTTCATGATTTTTTTTTATACAGATGCTAAATGTATCTTTTTAATTGTGTATATAATGTTTTTACCAAATTATTTTTCATAATTTTTAAAATTAGTGGTAAAGAAATTAAAATAAAGTAGACTTCTCCAAGAAGTCTACTCCTGAGAAGTCTACTTTAGAATCCGAGAAGTCTACTTAGTATTGATTTCTAACCTAATTTATCTATGATTATTTAAATTAATTATTTTGTATCAAATTTTATTTTTAATAGGTGTAAAAAGTATATGTTTTTGTTATTTTGATAATTTTTTCACCAAATTATTTTTCATAATTTTTTTTAATTAATGGTAAAGACATTATTCTAGAGTAGACTTCTCGACTTTTCGGAGAAGTCTACTCGAGAAGTCTACTCGAGCTCAAGTAGACTTCTCGGGGATAAAATAGTCATTGCGATGAGCATTTTTTGTTTGGTCAGAAGGGATAATATTGTAATTTCACTACCCCTGTGAGTTATTTTTGTCAAACATGTAATAGGGGGTCTAGTTTTGCAATTCAAATCAAGTTTTGAGTCATATTCAGCGATTCCCCCAATGTATATATACGTCAAAATTAGATAATTCAATAGGTGTCATTGTTATTATTCTACCTAATAATTTAAAAATTTTATAAATGAAAATAGGAAAAAATTACAAATTATTTATTAAATTCTCTTATATAAACAAAAATCTCTATATATATAATATAATTTTAATCATTTTAGACATAGTAGCTAAAAATAAATTAAATCAAACTATTAATACAGACTCGTGCATAGCACGAATTATATACCTAATTAATTAATTAATAAATCACGTCTTAATGTACTTGAGAAAAAGTAAAAAAAATAATTGCAGGGCATATATAATTGGGCTTATAGATTCATTTAAATCTTAATGAGCTTATCCACACTTGAGAGAAGCTTTCTCAGTCATCATCATCTCAAAAAAAAAGTTGTTGCAACTACTGGAGCATCCTCAACAAAGATGCTCCATTGGAGCTCTTCAACATCCACAGTGGCATTGATTCTCTTCCCAAGACTCAATATATCTCTTCCATTCAAACGATGTGGCGTCAAATAAACCTGGAAACAAAATATTAAACAAGTAAGAATACAAAGGATAATGGCTCATGAATATAATATAGAGACAAAGACAACATTTATATACCTCAGACATGCGCGACTCCTCCGTATCATATAGCCCGATATGAGTAGCATGGACTGAAATGTTGGCATCCCAAATAATGGCTCTCCCTTCATTTTGAGTTGTTTCTTGAAGAACCCTTTTGGAGATGTAAACATCCAACAATGGTTGAAGTCTAGAGATAACTATCATGCACCGATTTTCTCCAACAAGAGTGATTTCGATTTGAGCCTTAACCGGGAGATTCCCCTGTGAAAGAGAAGCCTTCATAAGCCATAGAGAATTGAATTTGAGAGAATTGAGTAATAAACAAAGAAGTCAAAAACCTCAAGGAGGATGTTTATAAGAGATGTCAAAGAGAGATTATCTATATGGAGTAGGGAGATGCCTTGTAGAGTAAAAATCTGCGAACAAACAATATATCAGTGAGTCCATAATTAAATAAGAAAATGAGATTAAACTTCCATTTTGCAGCTGAATGGCAAAAAAATAAGACCTACAAATGAGAGCGAAGAGAAAGACTGAAAATCGCAATCAGAAAAAAAAAAAAGAAATGAAAGAAGTGAGAGAGAAAGATGGATGGAAAAAGGAACACAATGAAAAAATACAAAAGTAGTACAAAAACTCAGTGAAGAATTGTTACTAGTGATTTCTAGGTATTTTGCAGGAATTGCTACACGTTTGTCTTTCATCGTACATAAACAAATAACACTCTCTAAATAAGATTACTCTAAATAGTAAATATTACGTTCCTGCAATTACGGAGCCTATCTATTCCAAATTGATCAAACCAAACCTCAATCACAATCGACCGTCCAAAACCGAATCTCTAACCACAATCACCTCCTCAAAATTCGAAATCTAAATTACCTGCTCTAAATATTACATTCCTGCAATTACGGAGCCTATTTACGTCTTCTTCTCAAACCACAATCGACCATCCAAAACCGAATCCCTAACCATAATACTGACCATTGAGAAGCTATTACATCGTCATTCGTCAATAACCACAATCAAGAATATAAAAACTACTTGACCCAACCCATAAACCAAACGAAAAATCAAGATTTTCACAAATGGCATGTAATAAAAGATTAATGGACAAGGCTTTCTTAAATGGGCTCAATTTAGTTTCAATTTACAAATTACAATCATCAGTAAACGAGACTTGATTTGTGAAGTGAACATTGAACATTTTATCTAACTAATTAATCATTATATTATTAATTGAGAAGCAAGTTAAGTTGTGGTTTAGAGTTATAATGATGGTTTACTTTTTGCCCTTTATATGAAAAGACTTTAATTACCCTTAATGAAATTGACAAATTCATATAATATAATTTTTAATTAATTTTCGTTTTTTAATCTAGATTTCCAAATTCGAGTTTAAATCACAAAAAATATTCAGTTTACTAAAAAAAAGGTAACTAACATAATCACAAAAATTCAATCCTAATTATTTTCTTAAATTAATTTTAATTTGATTGTTTAACCTACTAATATTTTTGAGTAACCTAATTGATTTATATAGCCACAAGTAAAATCCTAAATCTTTTAAACCTTTTTGAAACTCTGTATATATTAAAACAAATTTTTAAAACAATCTAGATCAATCGACGGTCGTACGTCTCTTTCTACCACTTTCTTTTTAGATTTCTAATCTTTTTTCAAAAAACAACAAAAGATTATTTTTATTGAGAGTTTTGTTTGATGCAACAAGACAATAAAAAATACATATAATTTTTCATCGGATAATATAAAAGATATTAAAAATAAGATATAGATAATATTTTGCTTTATCACACAAAAATATACTCATGAAAATTATATTTTTTTCAAATATATTAATTTTGATTTTGAATAATTATAAAATCTAATTTTTTATTAATAAATAAACTAATATTATTAGTTTTTTTTTAAAAAAAATAATCAAAACCTGCACAAAATACGGGGAAACAGTAGTTAATTAATTAATTAATCACGTCTTAATACACTTGAACATTGAACATTTTATCTAGCTAATTAATTGGGCTTATAGATTCATTTAAAGCTTAATGGGCTTATCCACACTTGAGAACACTTGAGAGAAGCTTTCTCAGTCATCAACATCTCGAAGAAAAGACTTACCTCTGACCTTAAGCAGCGTGTCAACTCAATCTCATTTCTCTGAACGGAGATAAATGGTGGCTTCTCTGAGACTCCCTTCTCTCACCTCCCTCCTGTTTCCCGCCACCACTCGTTATCCGGCAGCTCTCCGGCGAACCGTATGTCTACGGAACAGAACCGCTTCTGGATTCGCGACGGCGCCGAGTGGCACTGCTTCGCCGGAGACTAAGTCGGAGGTTGGGCGGCTCAGGTCGGACCAATCCGTCACGCCTCGCTCGCAGGACTTCAATGCGTGGTACGTGGATATTATCGCTAGCGCTGAACTCGCGGATTATGGTCCGGTTCGTGGTACTATGGTCATTCGTCCGTATGGTTACGCGATCTGGGAAGCGATTCAGGTTTCTTGTTGAAACTGAGTTAGTTTTTACTGCCAAATTTCCATCGTCTCGCTTCAATTTCGTCGTGGTTGTTAATTTCGCAGGAGTATTTGAATGTCAAATTCAAGGAGACTGGCCATAGCAACATGTACTTCCCACAGGTACGGTTTGAAGTGGAAATTTAGAAAATTTAGCTTAAGCTGGTTTAGTATTTAGCATAGAGTTAGTATAATTAGAGATTTATTCTTAACTGAAGTTTATTTCTTGGTGAAATTCATCTGTATGTTCGTAAGCTCAGTTTGAAAATAGATTCTAAGAAGCTTTAAACATTACTAAGCCTCTGATAAAAGTGGAAAAGTTGAAGGCATTTGGTATTCTTTAGTGTTATCCTTAGACACTTTAGCTGCAAGCGGTGAGATTTTCTTTTAGTGATTGTTTGGTCTTTTTGTGCAGTTTATACCATACTCGTTTATTGAGAAAGAAGCTTCACACGTTGAAGGATTTAGTCCTGAACTAGCCCTTGTCACTGTTGGAGGAGGAAAAGAACTTGAGGAGAAGCTCGTGGTAGGCATTTTTCCCGGAGTTTCTATGTTTAACCACAGAGCTAGAATTGTGTGAATTCACTACCTAAGTTTTGGCTTTGATTGTTGCATTTGTTGAGGTTGTGGCAGGTTCGGCCTACCAGCGAAACCATTGTGAATCACATGTTTACCCAGTGGATTCACAGCTATCGTGATCTTCCTCTCATGGTCAATCAGGTGTGAACAGGCATCCAAATCGTTTATCACTCTTCGTATTTGTTACTGCCCCTGGTTAAATTATTTCTTTCTGCTGTTTAGTGGGCCAATGTCACTAGATGGGAGATGCGGACAAAGCCGTTTATTAGGACTCTTGAGTTTCTATGGCAAGAAGGTCATACTGCTCATGCCACTCCCGAGGAGGCAGAAAAAGAGGTTTGTTCTCTATTTTGCTGTGGTTATCAACTTATGGAGTCTTTTTGTGGTACTCTTGCGTGAATAATGTTTAGTGCTGTATTTGCAGGCAAAACAGATGATCGAAATCTACACCAGATTTGCTTTTGAGCAAACTGCAATACCTGTTATTGCAGGTCGTAAATCAAAGTTGGAGACTTTTGCTGGCGCTGACATAACTTATACTATTGAGGCTATGATGGGAGATCGGAAGGCTTTGCAGGCTGGTACCAGCCACAATTTAGGGCAGAACTTCTCTCGTGCCTTTGGAACTCAGGTACAGAACTGGTCCCATCTATGATTTCTTTTGTCACACATCTTTTTTTTTTTTTTTTTTTGCAAATTTTATCATGGAAGAATGTTAAATGAGATATATGACCATGCCAGTTTCAAGATGAGAATGGAGAAAGGCAACATGTGTGGCAGACATCATGGGCAGTCAGTACACGTTTTGTCGGTGGCATCATCATGACTCATGGAGATGACAAAGGTCTCATGCTTCCTCCCAAGATAGCTCCAATACAGGTTCATCTTCTTTCCGTTTTGAAAATTTCATAACAGTTTCCTTTGATTGTATGGGGAAATGGGAACTGTAGTTGTTTTCATTAGCAAGAATGGTAACTAGTTAGAAGTGATGATCGAGAGTTGAGATTGAATCTTATCTTTTCTTGTTTTGAAGGTAGTAATTGTACCTATTTGGAAAAAGGACACTGAGAAAGCAGGAGTTCTTAGTGCTGTATCATCAGTGAAAGAAGTTCTCCAAACAGCTGGGGTTAGAGTAAAACTTGATGACACAGAACAACAAACCGCCGGATGGAAGTTCAATTTCTGGGAAATGAAGGTTCGTTACTCTCTTGGATTCCATAATATTTCAAGATCTGATTGTTATCATTCGTTTTTTTTGAAAAATTGGGGTTTTGGCAGGGAGTCCCTCTAAGGATCGAAATTGGTCCACGCGATGTAACCAGTAACTGTGTGGTTGTCTCGAGGAGAGATATACCAGGAAAGGCAGGAAAAGTTTTTGGAATATCAATGGATCCATCAACATTAGTAGCATATGTCAAAGAGAAGCTTGATGAGATTCAATCATCGCTTCTAGAGAAGGCGATATCATTCAGGGATAGGTATATACGTACTTATCTTATTTTGTTCATAAGTTTTGTACATACAGACTCTTCCTCACTACAAATTTTGTGATGTGATTTGGTGCAGTAACATTGTTGATGTGACCTCATACGATGAGCTCAAAGATGCAATATCTGCAGGGAAATGGGCAAGAGGTCCATGGTCAGCTAGTGACTCGGATGAGGAAAGGGTAAAAGAGGAAACCGGTGCAACCATTCGGTGTTTCCCTTTTGAGCAGAGTCATGGAACCAAAACATGCCTAATGACTGGGAATCCAGCAGAAGAAGTTGCAATCTTTGCCAAGTCTTACTAAGGAGTAAGTAGGTCCACAAAGTGGTACAAGATTCTGCAAGAGCGGATATATCTAGTTAGGAAGGTGTGGGTGAACTTGCCCTCAGTAACTTTCTTATGTTTTTTTGAATTTTGTAAAGAGAAATATTGAATGATTGAAGAGTTCAAAATTGCCAATTCCTTGCGATTTCATATTTATAATTTGTTTTATTTCATAATTGCAACGCAATTTTGTTGATTTTCATTTATTGTTTAGTGTCACGTTTTTAGAACCTCATGAACAGAAAGAAAGAAACAAAAATATTCATACCGTCTCTTTAATAGTTTAGAAAAGTTTTATGATTCCTTTTTGTTTAACAATTTATAATTTTTTTTAACATATGTTTATCATGCGTTTTTTACAGGCAGATATGGAAGATTCATTTCGTTCCAAATTCTCATTGCCCCCTTGCTACAACAAATAAAAAATAGCCAATCAAGGAGTTTCATATACAATTGTATTATTAGATTTTAGGTTCGGTTATAAAGTAAAATTTATACTTTTAAATAATTTTTTCTTACATGTAATATTACCGTTTGTTTTCTTACGACTGATGGTTACATAAATCATCAAAAATTAACATATTTACAAGTATATATATTTTGTTTTTACTCCCTCTGTTTTTAATTGTTTGATGTTTTAGAATTTATACTTGTTTTTAAATATTTGATGTTTTAGTTTTAATTAATATATTTTAAATTAAATATTATTTTTACTTTTATTTTATTGGTATAATTGTATTGGAAAGCAAAAAAGTAATGAAAAAGTAAAATATCTTAAAATTTGTGCCAGAACTAAAACATTATACATTAAAAAACGGAGGGAGTATTTGATTATATTTTTCTTAGATTTTGCATATGTTTTGCTCAATTTTTCCTTTTTAGTGTTGCATGTATCGTGTATGAATAAATTGATACTCGACAGCTTTTCTAAAGAGATTACATGTTTGTGACTTTAATAACTCGTCAAGTTTTCTAATAGGGTTTGTAAAAAAACAAATTGATGACATTGATTAGATTCAGCCATTCAATTTGAAAACCCAAATTTAGAGAAAAGTAAAAGTAATTAGTTGTTTCAGAAGATTTGGAATATCAAAAATCTTTTCTTTTAACAGTAATTATGGTGCCATCACATTACACTCTTAACTTGTGTTTCCGGTTTGTAGATGATCTTCACGTTTTTTAGAAGCTTCGGTATCTCGCCACTTGAGCTTGTTGTCTTGGAGATAGACATCAACAAGCTCAAGAAGGAAACAGATGGCCGTTGAGATGACATCACCAATAGAGAGCTCATAAATGTTGATGGAGATAGACTCTTGCGGTTGCATTTTACTCCTCTCCATTTGCAGTAGACAAATGAATATTGTGTGGATCATTGACAAGGATATGGTTGGAATTCCCTCGAGAGTTCCAACATAGAAACTCCATCGTCATCTGCCCAGTCACAAAGAATCACCACCAACAAAACTGAATAAATGGTGTAAAGGACTGTTTTTCTTTACAATTTTTTTATGCAAAAAAGAAAGAACTGCAAGTTTATGTTTGGTCTGTTTGGACACAGAACCGGCTCCGTGATTGACAAAATATAATTTAAGTATGTTAGTATTACATTTTTAAAAATATGTAAATGTACTGAAGAAAAAGCAAGAACAACAAATGAGAGCTAAACAATAACATTTTATACCGGTTTATACCAGTTTACTTGTGTTACAATATATATCGGTTTAAAAAAAATTATGTTAAGTTTATGTATTCTGTATTTAGATTGATAGTCTCTCTATAGTTTCAATATAGCAGCTCCATTATCATCCGTCGAGTCACAAAGAACCACTAACAAAGCTAAAACAACAAAGTTTAAAATTGTTATTATTACGTAGATGTAGACAATTTAAATCACATATAAAAGATGAAAACAATACATATACTAATATGTGATATATATAATCTTTAGTTTCGTTTATAATTTTATACCGGTTTTAAAAAGTTATAAACTGTATCAAGATCAAAATACAATAAATAAGATATCTAAATCTGACATTTGTTTTACTGATTTTGAATCTGATTTTAAAATGTGGTCCAAAAGTTAACAAAATAATGTAGTGATAGTAACTATGTCATTACGTTATATAAACTCAATAACTCTGTCAAACTAATATATTTAACATAATTTGATATTAATTCTGTCATATTATTATATTATTTAGAAAATATAATACAATATTACGTAATGAAAGTAACTTTGTCAAATCATGAAATCAATATAATAATGTCATTAACATTAATGGTTGACAATCAATTACTATATTTGGTGAGAAAATCCTATTAATAAGAAAAAAGAGTAAATATTTAAATGTTGTTGGAAACAATTTGGAGTCTATAATCATTTATACTTGTTTTAGTGTCTCAAACTTAATATACAATTTCCATTATTATTATTATTATTATTATTATTATTATTATTATTATTATTATTATTATTATTATTATTATTATTATTATTATTATTATTATTATTATTATTATTATTATTATTATATTTTGTCTATGTTTTGCTCATATTATTTCTTTTAGCTTATTTTTCTAACAATTTGTTTTTTTATAGTGATTAAAACAAATTGTAACATATTAAATATATAGAGTTATACTGATAATAATTATCATTGAACTTATTAGAAACAAGTAATTTATATTTTATTTCGGTAATAAGTTGTTCAATATAATATCAACTTAACATCCCTTTTTTAATTTGTAAATAGGCTAACAAGTTTCATCAAAAATTGATTTCAGGTGAACCAAGCTACGTTACAGATGAAAGAACGAAATCACAACATTATATAAGCAATCTCTCTAGGAAATTGCTTTGTCATTTTTAGCTTACGAATCGTTTTTTTTTTTACCTTTTTCTGTTTTCTTAGCAGTATCATATATAGTTTAAAATATGTATAATTAGTAATTAATAATAAAATAGAAAATAAGGCAATATTTAAAATATTTCTTTTGAAATAAAAACTTACATAATACATTGTAGAGAAATCTGAAATCCAATTGTATTATGGGATGAAAAATATACCAATACATTATTGGAGAAATGATTTAGATGGTTCTAATCTATCAGGAACCAAAACATATAAACGTCGCTATTCTAAGCTTTAGTATGAATTTACAAATTGATTACGGAAAAGTAATCCATTGAGACAATTAGAAAAGTCATTTGAGACAACTTATCGATTATATTTCATCCCAAAAGTTACATATTTGTGGATATAATATTTTTGATATACATAATTAATACATTAGTATATTTGTATATATATATATATATTTCTGAAACTAATGTATTTTAAAACTTTTTATTTTTATGATATTTGTAATAATATATAATTAAAAATATAAAAGTTATATTAAATAATAATTAAATTCTTATAATTTTTTTTGAATATCATTTATAATATGTTTCATTTCTCCTTACACAATCTATAATATTTTTTTACGTCTCACATAATATGAATTTGAAATACATATATAACATATTTTTAAATATATATTTTTCTTTATTTATTGCAAATTGAACTGAAATAGTTTTTACCATTTTTACTTATCCTAAGCGGATAGATGGTTGATATGCATGTGTGGGCGTACCAACCACCTCACTACACTTAGAATAGATAAAGATTTAAAAAATAAATAAATTGTACTATAAAAATTAAAGTATAAATTAGATTGTAATCAAGCTTAACAAATACTAACATGTATGAAAAAGTTCATGTGACTTCTACTAATGCACAATTAATATTTATGTATGTACGCGTATTTGTAAAAAATTAAAATATGGCTCTTATATGTTAAAAAGTTTTTAAGTGATTTTATCAAACAAAATGCGAGAAATTTATTTTTATACACTTCTATTTTTAATTCTTATTCATATTTATTTCATTTTATTTTAATTTATTATTTCGTTTGGTTATTTTTCATTTCATTTATGATCTAAAAATTTTGATATACAATAAAATATTTTTATGAATATATATATATATATATGAATATGATAAAAAAAATTATTTATTTAAAATATGATAAGAGATAAGATGAGATGGTAACATAAGTTATGTATATTTTAGAAAATTACAATAAAAATGTGATAAAATATAAAAATATATGGTCCTATTAATATTATTTTTAACATTTTATTCTTTAAATTATTTTTATCATGATTGTATTTTATTTAATAATTTGTTTATTTAAAACTTGTTTAGATGTTTTTACTATATTTTGTACATTAATAACTTTCCAAAAAAAACATATATCATACTTCAAACATTATTAATATATAGAATTTTTACTATTCTATTGGATAATTTAGTATTATTTTTTCGATTTTATATGAAATATATATATATATATTTTTTTTTTTGTTGAAAACATTTTGTAATTATATTTTATGAAATTATGAATATATGTAAAATATTGAAATCATAATAATAATTATTTTCTGTTAATTTAAATTTGTTAATTTTAGTTTTATAAGTATAATTTAGTGTTTTATATTTTAATTCCATAAGTTCTTTAATTTTAATTTAACCAATCAAAATATTTCATTTATTTTATGAAGTTTGACATGTCACATTTACATGTCATCAATTAAAAGCATTAACTTTAGCTATAGTTTTGACAAGTCAGCTATTTTCAATAATAATTTTTAATAATATGACGTTCCACAAAAACTTTAACTAAAAAACTAATCAAAGGACTTTATTTTTGTTTCAATAAAGCTAAGATTATTAGAATGACGTATGGACATTTTTTATGCACAACACAATCTTGCATTATTTTGGTATGGGTTGAGATTGGATTTAGTTACTTTATTTCTTTCTCCTCTCATTTGTTTTGAACTCTACGTAGGTGGTAAGAAGAGCTCTCCAGTGGGACATTATTTATAAAACGACGACATTTTATGTCGATCAAAATTCAAGAATTGCTACTAAGATAATAGCCATCATAATTCTACGTCTCTGTTTAGCATGTTAAGGAAACACGCAACACACAAACTCTAGATTTTATTGGTTTTTTGGCAAAACAAAATCGACATAACCGAGATTGGAGAAGAGACTGTTCTCTTTGTTAATAAAAGATCCAGAGAAAGAGAGCAAAACAGAGAGCGCATAGAGTCCAATCAATATTATTACCATCTTCACATGAACTTGAGGACTTTCACTCCAAACGCAATCCCTAGGAAAGTCGCAATGGCGATCCCGAATATTCCGGCAAGAATCCCGGGAACAATCAACGAGTTCCATCCCTTCGCCGTCGCCATCCCCGCTGCAGTCGTCGGTCCTCCGACATTAGCATTTGATGCCAAAAGAAGCAACCTTAGCTCGATGTTGAGCAGCTTCCCTATCCCCAAAATCACAGCTAGATGTGTCCCAATTTGGACCAACGCAAACAAGAATATGCTCGGCGCCGTGTTTATTACACTCCATATGTTCCCGCTCGCGCCTATCACAGTGAAGAACACCTGAAAAGGAAAGTGGATAGATTCAGTATATGAAGATTGCATTGTTTCTTGAATATGAAGTGTGTTAAAACTCTCTCGCACCTGCATAAGAATTAGAGCCATGGCTTCTCCAGATGGAGCGAGACGGCCAAAGTGGGAGGGGAAGACAGTTGCCAGAACAACAACAATGGCGGTTACAGCTGGTAAGATACCACCGGAAATGCCGAAATGCTTTGTTGCCATAGCCCCGACCTTGCATATAGCTAAGGACACAGCAATTCCAGTAGCTATCAGCAGCACAGGAATCTTGTTTTTAGTTTCAGAATCTTTGTTCGTCTCTGCATCTGCCATGGGAGAAACCAACAACATCTAAGTCAGAATCCATAAACTAAACTAGTCAGAATCAATATGATAAAGGAATGAGGAACAGAACACATGGCAATGATCCATTCTTCTAAAAGGAAGCCAAAATCAAACGGAAGCAGACATCACAAGCAAGCAACATTCAGACTTACCATTAGTTGGTGGCGGTAAAGCTTCAGCAGGTATTTTGGAGCCTATAGCAAACAACGACGTGAAGTATACAGCGCAGATAACATTATCAGCAGCGAGTCCAGCAGCTAAAACTGACGGTGAAACTCCGAGAGCATTCGCTATGGCAACGTAGTTAACGGCTAAAACAAACAACAAAACCAAAATGCAAACCTTATAAGCCACACAAAAAAGGAAAGGAACAAATTTGGCGTTTCAAGAAACTAAAAGATGCATATGGAATGTAATGTTACCTCCACCAATATGCCTCCCCATGAGAGCAGCTGCAATCTTCCAACTATCTGGACCAAGTGCTCTCATTGGCACTAGATAGTAAGCCAGAGCTGTACCCACTGTTGTGGCAACTGTAATGAAACCATGAGTAGAACAAAATGATTAATCTTTTTCTGATAATCGAGCGTAAACAAACGTAAGCCATTGTAGAAGAGGAGACATGAACTGGTTTCGTTTTCACCTGATCCGATCACGAAAGCCAATAGAAGCTTCCCTGTGGACTGAACCACACGGCGAAGATCAGCTCTAAATAGCAACAAAGGAACGGCTAATGGGAGCAGGAAGTTCAACACTATAGCAAAAGCAGGAGCTTCTGAAGAAATGACCCCAAGATTACTAGCTGCAAGCCCAATCAGTGTGCTGACCAACGCACCACTCACCGCGCTTCCGATCTTCGTCTTCTCCGACCTGTAATTCAATTTCAGAATCAACACCACTTATGATTACATTACTCCCATGGACAAATTTTGTAAACCTCTCTCTCTCTGAAGATAAAATCAATTCAAGCAAAATCTACTTCACCTAACAATCAAAGTATATTTAAAAAATGTCGAAAACAAATTAAATTGGTCACGAATTATACGTGCTTCTTAAAATTGATAAAGTGATCGAAATGTGAGTATATAAATTCAAATTTAGAATCAAAACTAACGATCGGAGTTTTAATAATAGCCGGAGGAAGACGGAGAGAGAAGAGGTGAAGGCCGTACCAGAGACCGAAAGCACCGGTGGCGAAGAGCGCAGTCCAAGTTCCCCATTCGTCGTTACCAGAAATGAGAGGCGTACTCAATTGCGATCTCACAGTCACCGATCGGATCGGAGAGGATACGTCCGGTGACGAATCCGGCGAGAGAAACCTATCGCCGCTTCCGTTGCGAGATTGCGACAACGACGGAGAAGCAGGAGAGAAGCTAAGCCGGGAAGAGACTGCTTTAGACGAGAATTCATGAAGATCCTGTCGCGAAACAATGTGCGATCGCCGGCAAATGAAACCCGACGACGGAAACGAGATCCCTGTCGCATTGAGGAACGGCAAGCTCGTCGCCATATAGCGTCTGCTTTTGCTTTACGACGAGAAAAGATGTAAAGTGAGAAAGAGAGAGAGAATCGTCACTGGAGAGTAGTGGTCACTGGAGAGTAGTGGACGTGTTGACTCCATTTGTGCGTCAACTTTTGCTCACTAATAATAATATAATATCATACTGACTCGAACCGAACCTAAAATCGAATTTGATTTGTTGGTTCAGACCGGTTAACTAAATCGAACCAAACCAAAAGCTCAATACCATTAGCTTCAATCGAACCAGCCAATTTGTTTGGAAATTAAAACTGAAACCGGTTAAAATTCTTCCAATTCAATTCGGTTTAACTTCGGAATCTTCATTTCCTTACAAAAAAATATCTCAGAAGTGACAAAGAAAACGAAACATTGATACAAAAAAAAGTTGAAACTCTCTCTTTCACATAGACCCAAGGTTGTGTGTTTCAAACGGATCTTTTACCTCTTCTGTTTCTTGGGATCTCGTTGTTTCTCATCTTCCTCCAAAGCTTTGAGTTTGTTCTTAATGGCAGCTACTTTTTCATCTCGGCTCATTTGTCCTGAGCTGCTTCCACTTGCAAACCTCGTTCTGTTTGCTTCTGGTAATAATCTTTTGGAGTGATCATGAGAGGAATCTTCTAGAAGCTTCTCACTAGCTAGACGAACCACCAAAGGCCTACCACAAGCTAATCTTCCATGCATCTTCTCTTTAGCCAATTCAGCTTCCTGTATACTCACTTTAGATTGTAGAAATCAGGAGATTGCTCAAACAGAATCAACCCATTGTTTTGTTTTACATTACCTAAACCAATCTCTCATCTAAGCAAAACTTCAGAAACCAAGAAAGATTAGAATATTAGTTACCTCTTTACGGCTGTATTCAATGAAAGCATAGCCGCGTGGCTCTCCTTTCTTTGGCCCACGTGTGTGCCAAAGAAAGTCTTCTGATATGATCTTCCCATACGGAGAAAACATCTTTATCAACGAAGCCCTATCAAGAAGAGAACATTAGGGTATTAAAACGATGTTTTGATCTATAATGGAGAGTAACAATAACAAGCTTTCACTCATGGCGATCTTTTTTTTGTTTTGCCTTACTCGTTTATTCTAAGATCCAAGTTTCCAACATATAATCTGCTCTCGCTCCTTTCATCTACAAACCCATTGGTGTCCTGAAGCATGTTAAAAAAAACTAGTTAGAAGATGACACTAAGTAACATAAGTGAGAATAGCAAACAAAATGTCCGAAGAATTTGGAAAAAAAAATAACGCTTTAGGATAGTGTAGTCACCATTTAATTGCAGAAACAAACAGATCGAAAGGTATTAGAGAATGTGTTCTGCATCCACCTGCGAATAAGAAAACTTCAACATTAGAACAAGACTTTTTCTTTTGTATAAAAATACAAGTTTCCCTCTCAAGATTTCAATAGTGTACACACATGAGAACAATGCTTAAAGGCCAGGACAACAATCAGATTATTCTTCTACATAGAGATGGCTAAAGAGTTTAAATCCCCAAGAAGAGCATAAAACCCAATCTAACAATACTCAGTTACTACTTTCTATATTGCATAAGAACTATCGGAAACAGAGGCTTCTCCATGAAAATTGAAGTTACTCACAAAGCACTAAAAAAGGCGAAACCTTTAAAGCTCAAGGGAGCAAATGTATTGTCCGATGTTAGTGTGATGAACAAGAGTAACTATTCAGCGACAGAATCATAGATGTACAATAATCAACACAACCCAATTAAGACAGAAAACCCTAGGTTCCTCGTTCCGCTGTAGTCACCAATTTGTACCCCTAATCGCCTACCTCGACACATAGCTAAATCCGCTAGATAGACGAACCCAGAAAGTTCAATTCATCGGAAATTATTGATGAAAAATGTTTGGAGAATCTCCATGGAAGCAACTTACGGGAGCTCAAGCGCGATCTCGACGGCTCCAAACCCCAAAGAAGATTTAAAAACTCATTCGGGTCTTCCGCTGGGTCGATTCTTTAGGTTTTCGGTTAATTGAACATTTCGTGGAGTGGAGAAAGTAACAATCAATTTTTTCCATGCTACAACAAATTATGAAAAAAAAGAAAAACAATTACTAAATACCATCTTCGCAAATACGGGTTATTCAATTTGAATTTTAAAAATTCTGGTGTTATTCAATTATATATTTTATGAATTCTTTCAAATTCACATGTTATTAGATTGATTATTTACATGAATTGTATTAAATTACTTTCTTATTCAATTTATTAATTTCTTAATTCTGTTAAATGTTAGTGTTATTCAATTTTAATTCTAGTGTTATGCAATTTATTATTTCTTATTTCTTAATTCTGTTAAATGTTAGTATTATTCAATTTTGTAATAGTTTTGATAATCTTATCATTTGGAAGGAATTTAATAGAATCTCACCTAAAATTTGTAAAGAACTAAAAATATTTCTACCATTTTTGCTCTGATTTTGATAAAATTAGTTTAAATTCCAGATAACACTTTAGATTACTTAAAAATCAATTATTTTTGAATTCTTTTACATTGTAATCATCTAATACCATCCCATAAAATTAAAATCTAATTGAGTAAGAAAATATTCTGTGTGTGTGTTACTTGTTTTTTTTGTCAATATGTAATTTTGTTTTTTGTCAATATGTATTTTGTTTTTGTCAACATGTAGTTTTTTGTTTACTATAAATATATTTTTAAATGAATTGAAAATATATGTTATTTTCAACTTTTCTTTTTGGTAAGCTCTTTTTAAATTTTGACCATGAAAAATACCTTAAACAAATGTTTGTGTTATCATATATACCTTAAACAAATGTTTGTGTTATCATATATAGCTAATTTAAATATATAAAACTCATCGAAAAAGGTTATTGAAAATATCATAAAAATAGTTCTTAGTATAAAAAATTTAGTTACATTTGTTTTCACTACTATTTTTGTTATATTTTTTGTACATTGTCGTACAACAACTACTAATATTCTAGGTATTTGTTAATTTTTGTATTCTACTATTAAATTTCACATGAAAGGCTGGATCAAAAAATAAGATTAAGTTTATCTTTTATTTCTTCTGAAATTTTTTTTTCTCTAAATTTAATGAAACAACCCATTAAATATGGACTAATCTATTTTAAATCCATTAAATAAATTATTAGCTAATTTTTATGATATGAAATTTTAATGAAAATTTTCTTTAAAGTATCAATCAATCCATTTTAAACACCTGGATCTACTATATATTAAAAGAAAAATATTAATTTTAGTTATTTCGGTTAATTGAATAATTACCACAAAGTTTGATTTCCGAAAAATGTTAACAGTATTCTTGCAAAGAAATCTCCATGCAACCAATAATCGAGAGAATGAGTATAAAAGGTTTGTTATGTAGTGAAAATTGTTTAAACATAAACATTATATTTTGGCAGATTATCTTCTTATTCATTATTTATTGTGAACTATATCATTATTTTTTAAAAATTATAAAAATTAATTTGAGTAAAATTTTAAGATAGCTTTCAAATGATAATTAATCTTTTTTTTTGTCAACCAAATGATAATTAATCTTAATGCAGTAAAAATGTAAAAATTTTAAAATAAATATTTGTGCGTAGATCAAAATAACTGATGGTCTATATATATATATAAGAGAATAGTGTCTTTTCTTTGGCTGGTATCTCATCATACATACTCTAATTTGTTTTTGTATATATATAAGCCAAAGGTTTTTTTAAGTACACATATTTATTTATTTTAAATATTTTATTCTTTTATTGCAATAAGATTAATTATCATTAGAAAGCTATTTTAAAATTTTACAAAACATTAAATTGTATAAATTTTGTATTTTTTAGAAATTTATGTTATTTTCAACTTTTTAAAGCTCTTTATCAAATTTGATCATAAAGAAGTTTCTTTTACGAATATTTATGTTATTATATATATATATCCAATATAAATAAAGAAAAACTTATCAATTTTTTTTTATCTCTTGTAAATAGTTCTAAAACTTTAGTTTCATTTCTTATATCTTACATAAATTGTGGTGTATCGAAATTGTTTTACAATAATAGCTGGAAATTTATTGCTGACAAAAGAAAATGTGCTAGATTAATGATTTTGGAATCTGTTACTACACTTGAAGAACTAAAAATTTGTTATATATCTTACCTATGACTCATTTCTTTTTTAAAGATGCGTTTTGAAATTTTGTTTTTTGTATTTTTAGATTTTATCAATTTATGTTTTTTATTCTTTTATACTTTTTTGTAGTTATCTTATTTTTTATATTTTTTTTTACATTCAAAATCTTAGCTAGTCTTGTCGCATTGTAAGACTTAGGTAATGTATTTGTTATTTTATTATTTTATTATTTTATAATTTTTATTTAATTATTTAAATGTAAATTAGATGCACTTTTTTTATAAAAAAAGTTCAACATACTTGATGGTTAAAATTATAGTGGGATTAAAATAAATAAATATATTTAATTTAGAAAAATTTGTTTGCAAAATTTTAGATTGACAAAGATATAATAATTTTATTTTTCCAATTTCTGAGAAAAGATTCTGGTAGATACGAAAAGTTGAGTTGAGAAAAAACCTAAACAAAACATGTGAGTTTCATTTCCCTAACAACAAATCTCTTACCTATTAATTGACAATGTAGTTTAATGAATTATGCTTACTTGTTTTAATTTTATTGGTTAAAAACATCAAGCTAACCTAATTAAATATGACATGGAAATGATGATGTGTAATGATGATGTAATTGTGAATTGGCATATATAAACATATATAGATTATGACATGGCAAAAAATATTTATGTGTTTAATTTATTTTAGTTCAAATAATTGTTTTATGAAAACAGAAAAACAGAAAATATTTAATTATTAATATAAATTAGAACAAGAAAGGCAACAACCTTCCGATGAAAAAAATAGACAGAGTAAGAAACAAAATAAAAGTGAAGATAAAGCTTTCTAGAGAATAATTAATGTGTGTTACCTTTTGCGATATCATTATTTAAAGTTTGTAATAATGAAAAGATGAAGCATCGTCAATATGTTACTATTAATACATTGAAGAAATTAATAATTACTTTTTGTACAAATCTGAGCTACGATCAGTTTACCAAAAAAAAAATCTTGTAGATTCTATGATCGAGAAGAAACAGAAAAATGGAAACACTGACCTAACTATTTAACAAACTCTCTCATAGGTTCTTATGTCTTTTACTATTATATACTGAAATGATCAAATTTCCGGTTTATACTGAAATGATCGTACTAGAATCAATATCAGTTTCTTGAATATATTGGCCAAAATTTTGAGTGTTGTGGAATATGAAAGTACTAGTTAATAATTCTTCCAAATCATGATATAAGAGTTGTGAAAAGGTTACAGTAAAAAAAAAGTATATTTTATACACTAGAAAGTCAAACTATATCGAAAGAAAAATAATTTTCGTATTTGAAATAGAAATTTATTATTTGAACTCATCACATTATGTATACGCCTATAAATCTTTATCATTATAGTTTTCATAAAAGTAACTAATCTATTTCTTATATAATTCCATACCACACAAAATATTTTTACCCATCAAGCTTTAATAACCCCACACATATGTGTAGACATAAAAAAATTTAATTAATAATAATATATATAATTTATAATAAACAAGTGATTGACTTATTCAGTAATATATTTGTAAAAAATTTAGTTTGTGAAAAAAATGACTTAATAGGTTTGAGAAATTGTACATATCAAAAATAAAAATATTTTTGTAGAATATTTTAAAAAACCTTAAAAAAAAATAAAATGATTCTTCGTTATTCTTTTTTATTCATAATCAACTATTTTTATAGTTTTTTTTAATCTCATTCTATCACCTTTCGCCCCGTTCCTGGTTCGTCATTTTCGGTATATAATTAGAATAAATCTACATATAATATAAACTTTTACTCTTTATTTATAGTGGGACAAGATATGATGAAAATAAAAATGAATAAATTCTCTTTCTAAAAATCTGATTCCGTAAATTTCACACAAACACTTCAACTTGTAAATATTTCGATTTTGTGAATTCCCGCAAAAAATTGAATTCATAAAAAAATTCGCCAAAAATTTTACATTAAAAATGTGATTCCAAAAACTTCCA